TCTCCCTCCAAAATCAGCGGGTGCTAAATATTATTGCACTCAGATTCATGCCAAATGTCATTGCTGAAGTTGGCCTGATGACAGGAGCACTCTAGAGAACATGAACATGTAACCCCGCTTGATAGCTAAGATGGTCACGAAGAAGACATTTTCATGCTGAAGAACAAGCTGCAGAGTGAAGTCGCTTCAGCCATTACCTACAACAGCCCCTGGAAGCACTGCAGGAGTCGGCACTGCAACATGAGGCTGCACATTACAGACCAATAAGCTGAGTGAATGAGGCCAGGCCAGAGAAATGTGTTTTCATTCATCCTGCATAGGTTAGTGGTGCACAGTTATAATTTCCGTCTATTACATAGGAAGCCGTCTGGCTCGGTCCTGAAGAAAAGTTACAGCTTCTTGCACAAGACTTGACACTGCGGTGCAGCAGCAGAGTGATGGAGCTGCTTTCCAGCTCTTGGTAGATGAGATCCTCCTGAGCTGAGACTGTGGCGGCTACATCTGCTTTCAACAAGCTAAAAATAACAGAGGGAAAATTTTGTGGCTTTGTCCGAAAACAACGGAGAGAAAAATCTAGAACTACAAATGACATTACAAACTCAGGGAGCTCACATTTTCCTTACCAATGAGACATACAGCAGGCCCCCCATATCTTTTTCAGTACGGTCAGTTAACAAAACCCAACAGGTACTCAGTGGGGCTATATAACTACTGTACACAGCGATCTGCACCTCGGCATATGTAGCGCAGAACAAGGGCATTTATGTGTTCCAGACCGATACTGAACACGATGCAAATCTGCTTCACGGTTCATTGTGCAATGCCTGCTCCCACTTGCAAGAGTTTTGGTCAGACTAATGCAATGGGACAAGTTGCATTTATGTCGCTGAAGGAATCGAGGTAGGTGTCTCAGACCCAAAGCCTCAGACCAGGGTTGGAACAGCAGGTGGCATAGGAGGTCCATGCAATGCCAAGGCTTGATCAGAGTCTGTAATTAAATCCAGCAGTATTAGGAAAGATCAACGGTTCCCGAAGTGGGGCAGCAGAGAAGTTCCCTGTCCAAAGCAGCTGGTATCCACCCCCCTGCCCAGTCTTGGAAGAAAGGGGACATCATGATGGGGGCAGGGCGTGGAAGGACGGGATCCTGGCAGTTCTCTGCCAAGTCCATGTTCCAATGCGGCATTATCCATGAAAGATGCTATCCTGATTGTAACCCTGGGCATAACACTACATGCGCCCTCACCAGAATAATGGGATCCTGGGGTACCCGGTAGCCAGTAGCCCTGCCCAGCCCCACTGAGAAGCTGCTGCAGTGCCCCCGAGCGGAGAGCCTCCCCTTATAATCAAGCACCCTCACAGACAATTCTCAAACTATTTACAAGATTTAATTATTTACAACATAACAAATCATCATTAAATAAGCACATGGATATACCGACTAATAAACCCTCAAGAACTTATTTACACAGTCTCTCACTTGCACACGGTGTACTGGGGATCCCGTGTGCACTGCCCCTGGCGCGGTATCTCAGGGAGCAGGACTGTCTGTGTCCCTGCACGTGGTCTGTAGACGCTCCCTGGTGTTGGTGTCTGCCTCCATGCTCCTGGAGTCTCCGGGCAGCAAGCGGCAACTTCTCTTCTGCAGACCCTGCAAGACAGCCTCCCCCTGCCTTTGACCCCCTTCCCCAACTCTGCTGTGAACAATGTCTGGGCTGCAGCAACCCTCCTGTGCCTCACTGCCCCGGCAAATGCAGTGCCCCCCTGGGCTTTGCCTGCCCCTGGGGCCCCTCCCCCCTCAGGGAAACTGGGGCGGACTCCGGCAGTCCCCCCCCTGGCTCTGCTGTGCTCACCCAGCCACACTGGCTGCAGTCAGGTCCCTCCAGGCTTGGAGTCTCCACACAAGCAGTCCCTGCCTGATCCTGCTGCCACAGCCTCCCGGGTCAGAGAGAAGAACAGGATATTGTATCACACTGGATACTGTGTCACTCCCATTACAGCTTCTGCTGCTGCTTCCTCAGGGCTCTCTCAGGGACGCTCCGAGGAACCACTGTGTTGAGACTCTGAATCCGGTCTCCAGCCTGTTCTCAGCCCCCTCTCTCTCTTATTCCCAGCCGCAGGAAAAACTGCTCCTCCCGGGCCAGAGAGAAGAACAGGATATTGTATCACACTGGATACTGTGTCACTCCCATTGCAGCTTCTGCTGCTGCTTCCTCAGGGCTCTCTCAGGGGTTCCCCGAGGGACCACTGTGTTGAGACTCTGAATCCGGTCTCCAGCCTGTCCCTCAGCCCCCTAGCTCTCTCTTGTTCCCCGCCACGGGAAAAAAACTGCTCTCCCCTTTTATCCAAGTCTCTCAGCCAATCCTGGGCTTTTGCTGTGCTCATGATGCTGAAAAGCATGGAGTTGGAGCAGTGCTCTGACACCCTGCCTCCCGCTCAGCTGCTCAGGCACCGAAGACTCAACCTCACAGAACTTCAGAAGCCACTTTAAGAACATGCAAAAAGTGGGAGACGGATAAAAAGAATAATCCCAGAAGTCAATGGAGTTCAACACAAGTAAGAACTTCTGCTCCTTCCTGGATGGATCCATACTCATTGACACCACGCCAACTTCAGCAGAAGATTACAAGATGATCCAGAGTGCTTTGTTGTTTTTTTGTTTTTTTTTTTAAAGGACCCTGAAGAAATACTGCAGCACCTCAACACTATAGGTACATCAGGATTCAATTAATCTAATCTAACTTCAATCTCGTCTTCACTAGTAAGAGGCTCACCGCACAATGTACTTTAAAAAAAGCAAAAAACAAAATATAGGGACTGCCACAACTGATCCCCCTATAATTTATTTGGAAACCAAGCAAAACAGTGCGGTGCACGTTAACTGTCCCCTGGCCAAGTGGAATTGTGAAAGAATGAGCTGCACACGACAGATGCTGATGGTGGCTGTCTAATGCACTCGGATGCTACAGTCTGTATAAAACAGAATGAGAGACACCAGTTTCCGAAATGTAGCAGATTGCTGCCAGACAGTTTAGCGAGAGGGATTAGATGATAAAAACTGCTCTGGGGTTTTAGTACAGGACATCCAAAGATCTTGTAAAAGGCACGCCTCCCTGTAAAACAAGGTACTGGGACACCTGGAAGAGAAAACTGATACAAGTTAGATAAAAGGTGAGTTTGCAGAACAGCCCAGGCAGTCTGTGATTAACTAAAGCCGGGCTGCTGAGCAGCTCTCCCAGCCTTGAAGGGAAAGCAGAGATTTGGGAGACAGCACCTGCTGCATGGATATCAATATGCACAGTAGAAACTACCCTACAGATTGCACTTGGTCCACGGCCACGCTCCTTCTAAAATCTGTGGGAAAGCAGAGCGTGGGTAGCTCTGAAGGCAAACAGTCCTTGGCAAAGGAATGTGGAGGTGGATCGTTCCTTCCCTATTCAGGAGCAGCCAGTCCTCGGCACAGGCTATAGCTTTGCAGGAATCAGGGGGCTCCTCCTTAGTCGTGCCCCTTCACCTTGCAGTAGGCTGTCTCTTCCACTCTGAACCTCCTCTGCTGCCCTGCGACAGCTGGAGCAGCTCTCCTCAAGGGGTCCAATGCCTGTTCTGGAACATCTTCTAGCAGATATCGCCCCAAGGCTAGACTGGGCCCTGCACTACCCAGCAGGTAGAATGGATACACCGGCAACAGGCTAGTGCATAGCTTATGCAGCACACACTGTCTATACGCGCATGCTTGTGCATCCACCGCACAAAGGAAGCTAAATCACTACCACTGCAACAGTGCCAAAAACTCCACGTACGCAGCTAGAATACTGCCGTCTACGGCACTTGTACACACGACAGGGGTTTAGTCATCAGTTCCCCCTAAATTGAAATGGTGGGCCCGATCCTTTTTTTCTTTCCCAGCAGAGCCTGCCTGCAGCTGGCGGGCAAGCTGCCAGTGGGCTGAGCAGCCCCTGAGCTGTGGGGGCTCCAGTCTTTCCCTCCGCGGCAGTGGCTCCTCCAAGGGAAGAGTTGGATCAGGCTGGGTGCTGCCTCCGAACTGGCAGACCACCTGGGCAAACCTGGGGGTTGGGGGGGGCTGCTGCCGTGGAGAGAAGGACCAGGGTCCCCCTGCAGCTCAGGGGCCACTTGGCCCATTGGCAACTCGCACCCCAGCTGCAGACAGGCTCCACCAAAAAAAAAAAAAAGGATCAGGCTCCTCAGTGCTTCTGCCTTCAACCTGCTGAAGGCACAAGTGGCAAGGGGCCAGATCCTTTTTTTCGGTGGAGCCTGCCCGCCTCTACCATGGCTGGGGGAGCGAGCTGACTAACAGCTGCAATGCATCATTGCAAACTCAACTACATCAGGGAGTAGTTTAGTTTGCAACAATGCAAACTGATCTAAAACCCCAAAACTCATGTATATGCAATGTGTGACACCATTAAGCCACACACAGTGACATTTTTGTCACGTGTCCATCATCACGTCGTCACGTGTATGAGCGACCCTAATTGCATGTAGGGAAGTAGAACAGTACACATAGTGCTGCTGAGCTGAAGGTGCCCATTCAGGTCCTAGACTTGGAGCCCTCTGTCTAAAGACAGCAGACAAAACACAAGGAGGAGGAGATTCTGCTGCCCTTGGTGGAAAACTCACTGTTTCCTTAATCCCCATTTGTAACCACTAGAGCCTACCCCGTAAAGGTCTGACTCCTAGGAGCTTATTGAAGGAGAAAATTCAGACTCTTCAAGATGTTGGCTTTTATTTATTTATTTTTTTTGGATGTGTCTAGCTGTATAAATGAAGTACGTCATGTTTCATCTGGAAAAGTCTGAAAAGCTCAGAGCTGCTGTGATGATAGGAGGAGGAAAAAAGTTCTGTATGCAATCTGGATTTTTCTTTTAGGTGAACTTCTTCTAAAGAAAGCACAGAGAAATCCCATCTATATTGCTCGGTAAACAAAAACAACGCACACAAAAGTGCCATGATATTTAACAGATGATGAATCAACCAACTGGTAAAAAGACAAGCATTGAAAAATAGCCACACACTTGACTTGGTACACGGTCCAGATTCCAGTTTGAATAATCGCATTTTCTCCACCTGAAAGAGCTGGCATGCTCAATCACAATACTCTGTTTACAATCATTTCTGTTGGTATAAAGCAGACGAAAAAAGACTGACTTTAGAGCATAAAATCTCTGCCACGCCTTTTCCGTCGTGTTTGTCAGCGACACCAAACCCGAAACACAACGAAGGTCCCAGACCACTTTTACAGCAAAGGCCTCAGCACGCTCCTTTGCTTAACCTGTAATAAAGCTTTTGATTCACTTGACTCCTGCAGAGACTACTCACCTGGCATTGTGAATGTGCTACTCAGTGCTCCAAGCTGAGGACACTTTTGTGATATCACATGAGGTCCTTCCCCTCAGGTGGATTGATTCTGCAGAATAGTCTTGGGCCTGACTTATTGACTCAAACTCATTTACATCACCTAGGCAGCATAAAAGAAGCATTAAAAGGAGTTGGCTATATTCCCTTTGAAGCTGTGTTTCAATGCACTCCTTTTCCTTACAATCATTAGTCATGAGATGGGGAGGGAGAGAGAGAGGAATGAACTGGGGCCTGCTGATATGAGTGTCACTGCACCCCCAGCCGTGGACAGGCTCCACCAAAGGAAAAAAAAAGGATCAGGCTCCTCAGCTCAGTGCAGCTGCAACAGGCAGCTGCTGAAGGCACAAGTGGCAAGGGGCCCGATCCTTTTTTTTCGGTGGAGCCTGCCCACCTCTACCATGGCTGGGGGAGCGAGCTGACTAATAGCTGCAATGCATCATTGCAAACTCAACTACATCAGGGAGTAGTTTAGTTTGCAACGATGCAAACTCATCTAAAACCCCAAAACATGCAATGTGTGACACCATTAAGCCACACACAGTGACATTTTTGTCACGTGTCCATCATCACGTTGTCACGTGTATGAGCGACCCTAATTGCATGTAGGGAAGTAGAACGGTACACGTAGTGCTGCTGAGCTGAAGGTGCCCATTCAGGTCCTAGACTTGGAGCCCTCTGTCTAAAGGCAACAGACAAACACAAGGAGGAGGAGATGCTGCTGCCCTTGGTGGAAAACTCACCATTTCCTTAATCGCCATTTGTAACCACCAGAGCCTACCCCGTAAAGGTCTGACCCCTAGTAGCTTATTGAAGGAGAAAATTCAGACTCTTCAAGATGTTGGCTTTTATTTATTTATTTTTTTTGGATGTGTCTAGCTGTATAAATGAAGTACGTCATGTTTCATCTGGAAAAGTCTGAAAAGCTCAGAGCTGCTGTGATGATAGGAGGAGGAAAAAAGTTCTGTATGCAATCTGGATTTTTCTTTTAGGTGAACTTCTTCTAAAGAAAGCACAGAGAAATCCCATCTATATTGCTCGGTAAACAAAAACAACGCACACAAAAGTGCCATGATATTTAACAGATGATGAATCAACCAACTGGTAAAAAGACAAGCATTGAAAAATAGCCACACACTTGACTTGGTACACGGTCCAGATTCCAGTTTGAATAATCGCATTTTCTCCACCTGAAAGAGCTGGCATGCTCAATCACAATACTCTGTTTACAATCATTTCTGTTGGTATAAAGCAGACGAAAGAAGACTGACTTTCAAGCATAAAATCTCTGCCATGCCTTTTCCGTCGTGTTTGTCAGCGACACTGAACCCGAAACACAACGAAGGTCCCAGACCACTTTTACAGCAAAGGCCTCAGCACGCTCCTTTGCTTAACCTGTAATAAAGCTTTTGATTCACTTGACTCCTGCAGAGACTACTCACCTGGCATTGTGAATGTGCTACTCAGTGCTCCAAGCTGAGGACACTTTTGTGATATCACATGAGGTCCTTCCCCTCAGGTGGCTTGATTCTGCAGAGTAGTCTCAGGGCTGACTTATTGACTCAAACTCATTTACATCACCTAGGCAGCATAAAAGAAGCATTAAAAGGAGTTGGCTATATTCCCTTTGAAGCTGTGTTTCAATGCACTCC